TTTTCAAAATTTATTATTTTAAATCAAATATTTCATATTAAAATTATAACCAAAATTTAAAAATTAATTATAAATATCATAAATCATAAATATTATAGTATGATACTATTACATGAAAAACTATATCATGTAAATTTAAAATGCATAATTTTGACAAATCACGTTATAAAATATTTTTTTACCCATGCATATATTATCAAAGCACTTCCAATGACTCCGGCTAAACAAATGAACTAGGTTTTCGTCAAATCTGAGCATCATATGTATTTTAACAAATGTCTTAGATTTAAAAGTAAAATAACAATTGATAATAAGTAGATAGATAAAAGCCTAAATGTATGCTCAAAGCTCAAGAATACACCTACCTTAAACAAGCCTATGCAAATATATATATTTTCTCAAAGCCTTGGATAATGGGTTTACCTTAAGAAGTTAAAAAAAAATCAATTCTCGAGGAGTGAGTTACACCATTTCTCCTTAGAGCACCTTCCTAAACTCTAAAAGTCACCCGAAAATCTACCTCAAAGAGAAAGAAAAATGGTAAGTTTCCAAGTTTCATCAAGCTGTCAAAAAGATTTGGAGATTTGGTGAAAGAGAAAGCAAATGAAGAAGAAGGAAGAAGACATGGTGAAGAGAAATAGGAGAAGGATGGTGTAATAGGGGTTATGTCATTGAACCCTTTTTTGAAACCTTTGTTGTTTTTTAAAAGACTGTTATGCCCCTACTTACACTATATGATGCATTTCACAAAACAAAGCCTAAATTCAAGTGAGCTTCATGAAGCAAGCCACTTGAATTTCGCCCCTATCTATTCCTTAGTTGGTGGAGTATGTTTCAATAATCACCATATTTGAACTTGTAATTCAAGGGTGTGTTTGGTACAGGAGAATTTTTTTGGTGACCGGGAATCATGATTAATGGGAATTCAGTAGAAATTGAGTTTACTTGGAATTTTACGAAAGAAGTGTTTGGTTCGCCAAAATATTACCGGGAATACTGGGTAAAAATTACTGATTCCATATTTGGTTTAGAACGAAATATAACTTGGAATATGAGGTTATTTTACAAAAATAACCCCAAACTATTTTTACTTTTGTAATTGATAGATTGGGTCTAGATTTTTATGTGTATTGGGGTATTTTTGTCTCAAAATTTATTGTTGTGCTTTCCCTTTACTTGGTATTCTGATTGGTATTCCGAATTACCATATTATTTTTGGTAATCTGAATAGTGACTTTTCTTTATAAATCAAATTACCGGTAATCCTTGGATATCCGAGAATCGTAATTTATTCCTTCTACCAAACGTGGTAATTACATTTACCAAAGAAGGATTACCGGTAATCCTCTCCAAAAACTTGAACCAAACACCCCCCAAATGTCCAAGTTGCTTCATGAAGCTTTATCCAATGTCATTGGACAATGTTTCATATTTTACTATTAGATAAGTGAGGAGATAATTCTCATTCCTATCTAATCTTAATGGATAATTAGATTTATCCATTCACTTAACCTCTTAACTTGAATTTAAATATAAGTATAAATCCATGCTCATCCTAACTCTTAATTTGAATTTCGAATTCAAAATTCAAATTCAAATTCAAAATTAAGAATTGCGCAAAAGTAAAATTTGACCAAGTCAATTCCTTGATTTTCTAGGATTCATCGCCTAAGACCCTATTAGGCCTTACAACACAATTGGGCCCATTAGTGAAAAAACCAATTTCACCACCAATGGCCTATATATATATATATATATATATATATATATATATATATATATATATATATATGAGGTAAGATCCTTTGACACAGGTGTCAAATTTGAAATTTGAAATTTGACACCTCATCTGAGAGCCATCAGATCAAAAAAGATCAACAACTCTGATTTGTAAGTATGTAATACCATTGATCTTTTTTTATCTAACGGCTCTGAGATGAGGTGTCAAATTTCAAATTTGACACTGCTGTCAAAGGATCCTCTATATATATATATATATATATAGGGCAGGATCAACTTACACTGATATTAGAATGATAAGTCTTACACCAAATTTTAACAGTTGATTTCCATAATCTAACGGTTGTGATTTATTGGGTCACACTCATTGATTACTTATAAATTTTTAGAAAATTATAACCATTAGATACACAAAAATCAATGGTTAAGATTTAGTGTAAAATTTATTATTCTTATACCGGTGTAAGTCGATCTTGCCCATATATATATATATATATATATATATATATTATATGGGCTTGGAATTTTAATCCAACCTAATTCACTTATAATCTCATTTAAGCCTAATAACTCATTATTGGCCGAAATATGTCATAACGCGCCATTAAAATCAATATTGGTATGTGACCCATTAGGCCTAATCAGTCACAAATATAAATAAATTTCGACCAATTAAACTCCTTTAATTAGCCAAATTTTACTAATGACCACTTAAGATACTAGCGATGCTTTGCGACTTCAAAACTAATTGAGTTGATCAAGTGATCTACCTTTTCTAATTTGGATACCGTGCTAACTAGGGTTGGCAAAACGGGCCAACCCGGCCCAACCCGCTTTCAACCCGAAAAAAACGAGCCGGGTTAGGGTTGGCTCGAAAAAAAACAAGCCAGAAAACCCGACCCGAGTCGGGTTAGGGTTGACTCGCGGGTTGGCTCGAAAATTGGCTCGTGGGTTGGCTCAAAAATTGCTCGCGAGTTGCTCATTTTCAGCCTATTTAAATGACTTTGTAGTATTAATGCATCAGCTATGTGGCTTCCATTAGCTTAAACAAAGGGTTACAAAATGAGAAATAAAAGCAAAATATTTTAGTTTCGAATTTTCATCACAACAAATTTGCATTAATATCAAGAAACAATCAGAACCACTTGTTACCAAGTGAATAAGATATTTGAACCAAACAGAGTCAGCACAGCCTAACAATATAAAAATGGCAGGGATGTGAGCAGATTAGGGATGTAGGTTTAGAGAAGGAAGAAAAATGAGGATGACATGTGTGGGATTTGTCCATTTTTGTATATTATATTTTGTATTTTTTTATTAAAAAAAAACTCAACTCGCGAGCTGGCTCGTTTGACCAGCTGGTTGGCTCATTTTTTCACGGGTTGAAACGAGTCGGGTTGGTTCGGGTTGGCAGCTCATTTTTGCCAAACCTGGCTCATTTTTGGCGGGTTACGAGCCCACCCAACGAGCTGGCTCGTTTTTGCCAACCTTAGTGCTAACATCATCCCTCATATCGTCGTTCACATTTAGTCAAGAATAATGATACAGTATCATCTCTCTTGTGTGACTAAATGAAGCTTTTCACAAAATTAGGAATGTTCTTTTATTGACTTGAAGACCGATCTAGACGGATCCATGACTCTTTATGATCCTTTACTATGCATAAATTTTCGAGTTTAATAGAAGTCATCCAAGCTCTATTGGTCTTGTGAATGACTAATCCCTTATATGAGACTATAAGTCTTATCGGCATGTCCATTTATACTCATTATTCGAGTTATACCCAAAAGTACATTGTTCTCCCTATTTTTAGGTAGATAAAGTCGTACAGCCAAAATATAACCCTAGAACATAACGTTCGATGATATTCTCAAGTATAGGACGATCCACACTACCAAACGAAGAGAGACATTACAAATATAATGAATCATTGTGGATTCTCTCGGTGGGTTAGTTCAATGCCATATGTTCTTTAACATATCCACTCATGACATTAGCTAAAGCATCTTCATACCTGTATTCCATAAGGTCTTTACATTGTATCTCCATAATCATGAAATATTAAACAATAAAAGGCATTCATCTGACTAAATAATTGTCTCTTGGACACTTGAATACTATCAACAACTTGTGATTTGAACCACTAATATGACACATAATTTTTGTGTTTGGGCAACTCGTATTCTTTTATGTGATGTTTGCGTTGTCAAAAATTCAAAAATTAATATGAAAAAAAATTCCTCATGCTAATTGGAGAGGTTTACTTAATTAAGGAAGGCAAGGTTGGATATTATATGCTCATGTCCAAAATCAAAAACTTGGCCGGTATCTTCATTAATTTTTATTTTTGAAACTGTACATAAAAAATACTAATAAAATATTTTTAAGTGCCTAAGTAAATTTAATTGAAGAAAAATTAATTATATGAATTATTTTGAAAAAATAAAATATTGTTACAAATAATATGACCGTTGGCATTTCTTAATAATATGACCATTGGATATTTAATCTCAAATTATTATCACTGATGAAGTGATTATGATCATTTATTCAATTGTACCTTGTTTTGTAAACCTGAAAACAGAGGGTTTTTTTTTTTTTTGATCTCCAAAAAAAAAAAACAGAGGCATTTTTGTGAGCCTGTAAAGAGAGACATGTACAAAGTTTCAATATAAGTTACAATGCAAGAAGAATATATTCTCACGTCTTTGTCTTATCTCTATATTTTTTTTCATAGTTACTTTTGTTTCACAACAAATAATTCCTAAGGAAATTTTAAAAAATCATTTTGTTAATTAAAAGAAGGGGAATGAATTTGCAGGAGAAACTCATCATTCCCTCTTGCGTACACAAAAAAGCATCCTGTCAACTTTTTCTTTTTTTAAATACGATGGATCGATTTTTTTGTATGTGCGGGAGAGTTAATAGTTTCGACGGGGAGAAACTATTAACTTAAGAGGTGTTTGGTAAAGAAGAAACTTTTTTTTATCCGAAAATTTTGATTTTTAAAAAAATATGATAAAAATATTTGCTTACGATAATATTTGAAAATTACAAATTTTAAAAAATTTAGTTTTCCAGAAATCCAGAAAAATACCGACTACACGCCCCCTTGATTTTAAAAGTAAAAGAAAACTTGTCATAATTTTCTCATTTGGCAATTAAAAAAAAAAAAACACTCCCTCTTTGCTACACCGTATTGGTTGGATTTTTGGTTCATAAGCATGCATTCCGTAGGAGCCTAAGCCCAAGCCCTAGCTGAACGACAAAGCATTATCATTGAAAGGAGTTAAAGAGTTTCTCTATCTTCAACTGTGTGATCACTCGGCAGCATTGGAATCCGGTGAGTCTCCTTACACTGTTCCTTTGATATTTGGCTGCATGTTAATGTTACTTTGTTTTGAATTATACAAGAAACTAAATTTCTCTAATTTCCATCTCTAGAATTTCTGTACAAGTTTATCTTTGTTTGTTTGTTTGTTTGTTTTTATTTTATTTTTTTATAAAGGGTGAGAAAGGGTTTATTGATGACACAATTATCATCATATTGCTTATGGTGAATGTCTGTGTTGTATAAGTATTGGAGAAGACAAGAGATAAAGTTGCATTGCATGTGTAAATGATCAGTTGCCTGTTATCACATTGACAAATTTTCTCTTATTTGGATCAAATTTTTGTTGCAGTACATTTTCATTGTTTAGAACAAACTTGCATGTGTGTTTTTAGCTGTGATAAACCAAAAATGACAATAGTAATATCACTTAATGAAACCAGCGCTCATATTTTCTTGCAGAAGGTTTCTGTTTGATATGTCTTTGGCTCTATTGGAAGGGACAGCTCAGGCAAGCCTATCTAATAAAGTAAAAAGTGGGATGCCTAATGATGATCAGTGTTTTCTCTTGTACTTCGTTATGGGAACCTACTTTGGGCCCGATATCAAAGGGGAGAGTTCCAAAAAATCATTATTGCAAAGAGTAGCTGAGGGACTTCCTCCATACACATTGGATCAATTAACTGGTTCTTTCATGAAAGTGGTGGAATTGGAGCGTGTGTACTATTTTGTACTTAGGAAGGCTGATAGATCACTTGCCCTCAAGTTATCCTTTTTGCAACGATTCTTTCAAGGTAGTATTTCTGGCCAAGGACAAGATGGTGCTGCCAATTTCAATTACCCTCAGTTTCCTGATTTGTTTCCTCCTGAGCTACATCCTCAATCTCGGTTCAAAAATCGATTTAAAATTGTTGAGAACATTGCTTTTGTTAACAACCCGGAAATCTCCTACATGAAGCCAGAGGAGATTGAAAGGTTCAAGAGGCTAACTGGACTGGAGGATTTCCATCTAGACAGAGATGCTGCAAGATTGCATACTTCTTTTGATGGTAATGTTCTAAATGACATGTCAGTGGGGAAGGATGAGCCTAATGGAAAGATGTCTATTGTCCAGGCTTCTCCTCTTTTACAGAAAGCAAGAAGCACTGATGACTTTCCTGAGCTCCAGGATCCTCTGCAGCATGTCCATGTTCCGGCACCTATCAATAGCGTGCCGTGTAATGGTACAAATATGATGTGTAGTTACATGGCTCCATTGCAGCCTGAAGACAAGACTGATCCTGAGAAAGTTGGTCAGGCTATGTTATTCCTTCCTTCTCGCCCTACTAAAAAGGAATGGTCTGACATTGTGGCTGCTACCAAGAGTGGATTTGCATTGACCGGAAGTGCAGTTATGGGGCAGGTAGGACCAATAATAGGACTTATGGACATTGGAGAGTGTGAAGACTCATATCTGTTTCGTGTGTCTCTCCCTGGTGTGATAAGGGATGAAAGTAAGTTTCTTATTAAATGTCAAGGATTTATCTCTAGCATAATTTCCTTTCATTTTGTTCTGAGGTTCTATTCTATAAATACTTTACATTTAAGGTATTTCTCTTTCATGTTTATGTTGTAAACTTTTCTGCTAAAAGATAATGATTGATGAAATAAAATTATTTAAAGTTCCATTGCAGCAGAAAAAGGGAATATTGGGCAATGGCTATGGCTATGCCAACTTGGCCATAAAAAATGTTTTATTCATTGCTAATATTACTGTTGTTTTGGTAGGCTAGAAATTCTTTGAATCATTTGTGCAACATAGTGCCTCAGAGATCACACTTTAGATAACCAATATACCTTGGATTTATAACTGCAGGGGAATTCAGCTGCGATGTCGACCCCAATGGTAAAGTAGTGATAGGTGGAGTAACTACAACAGGAGAGAAGACAGTATCCAGGAACTCTCAGGTGTTTGAAATGCAAACTCACAACCTTTGCCCCCCAGGCCATTTTTCCATCACATTTCAGCTGCCTGGCCCTGTTGATCCGCATCAATTTTCAGGTAATTTTGGCACTGATGGGATTCTTGAAGGAGTTGTTATGAAATGGAAACATACATGATGGAAAAGTTATGCCCCATTTGAATCCTTTCTTTCTTTTGTTCTTCCAGTCACCAAGGATGTCGTAGATGTGGTTTTGAGTGACAAAATCCTGTATTGTGCCTATCTCTATTTTATTTATTTTGAGATTTAATGATATACTTGTTTTTTGACATTCTTTTCATGTCGAGGTGGCCAAGGCATGATTAATTAACCCAATTTATGGGACATGTGCAAGAATGCTCAGCAGATGAATATATCAAATTCTTTTGAGATGAGCAATTTGATGTCTGGCAGCAGGCCCATAGAGATTAACCTTAAGCTGACTGACCCAACTACTTCAACACACAACTTTTCTTCATTTATTTTGGTAATTTTCATACTATAGATATATTTTTTCATTTTTTTTGTGGCTTCTAAGCACCACTTAGGCACTGAAACCTATCATTCACAGTTATTACCTTTAGTTGAATGGGACAATCAATCAGTGTGTGGGAGCTTTTCCACTTCAGTATTTGTTTAAGTTAAAATTTGCTAATATAATTTTCAATTGTCACTTTCCATTAATCTTGGTCATCAGGGATCATTCAACCTTCCTTAAAATCATTTTGGGTAGGCATGATTCCAAGGGTGAACTAGGTCATGGGAAACGTTGAGTTTTTTTTTTATAATCAATAGTTCCAAAATTGACTTTTGACATTTATGTAGCCATATATTTTTTGTGTAATGCAATCAGATGACGGTAGGACATAGGGTGTATGTATTACAAAAAATGTACACATGAGCTCTATAGGGTGCATGTATTACAAAACTTGTTCACAAGAGCTCTAGCATAACTTTATATTGTAAATTGTATGTGGCACAATTCACAATGTTCATACAAAAGGGAACATGGAACTGCAATTATTATAATGAGGGGGCATAATGAGAACAAAAAGACAAAAGGCAGCTTAAATTCGAGTGCATAAAATATTCCACTGATAAAGAAACTAAGTTCCTATTAAAAAATCTTTACACCCATGAGTAAATATTAGCGCATTCCGAGAAATTTAAACAGAGAAACACCATTTTATCCTGCTTAATCAAAGGGACAAGTTTTTTTAGTACTTCAATTACATATGTTAAAGATCAGCTATACTTTCTAATCATTAAGGACCTTCCCGAGTCCTGACCATTCAATAGTGCATCTATAATCTGCAAGCCACAAAACATTGGCAATATCAGAAATAAAAGGAACAATGGTTCGTGCAGGAAAAGACATCAAAATCATTTTAGCTGGTCAAATAAAACATGTTTTGGATTGAAACGCATCAAGGCTTATTTATAGAAGAACAGAAAGAAAATGATTGCGTATCATGATTAGTATTGATTAACTATTATGGAAAAAATTGATATCGTATTGTGCATAGATTATTATGATAATAATTCACAAACGATACACATAGTTCTTTCTATAATAATCTATGTGCAATACCAATTATTTCTGTAAAACTAATCCAGAAAAATCTCAATAGAAAGTGATGAATTCATTCATAATTTAGAAAGTAATTAAGTGAAAAACACAATTTATCAAGGATTTGAGGCAGCTGGAGCTTGTTTAATTAAAAAATAAATAAAATTACACTAATTAGTCTATCCCACTGCATTACTAACTAACCATTGTTGAAAATCGACACACAAATCGAAAAATGGAAAAGAGAAAGGGAAGAGAAATTGGACACAGCGATTTACCCATCCTAGTTCATCCAATATAGACTACGTCCAGCTTGTCACTTAGTTTACAAGAGAATATAAATAGGATTTAGAAAACCCTACCAGCAACTGTTCATGGGCCTAAGCCCAAACTACTAAGAAAAGGATAAATACAACGATTCAACAATGAGTCAAGGGACTACGTCAAGGGAATATAAATAGGATTTAGAAAACCCTAACAACAGCTATTCATGGGCCCAAGCCCAAACTACTAAGAAAAGGATAAATACAATAACTCAACAATGAGTTAAAGGCCCACAACAGTACTGGTTGGCTTTCTGCTGACCCCGCCAACAAGGATCTCCGTCTGAATGCGACGTATGAGCCATATCCAACAAGCATTGAAATTAAAGAGTTCCATATTCTATCCAACTCCCCCACAAAGGATAAGAGAGTGCGAAGCAAAGATTCAATCATAACATCGTTCTCTTTGTTCAGTGTGTTTTCAACCTCACAAAACAAGACAACTAATAACAGCATAGCTAATTGCCAGATGCTTCCACCCAACGTACAAAATTATCATATTTCTAATAATGCAAAGTCAGGTTGCAATCACTATTAGCAAAATCATAATACAGAATGAGATTGGCACCAGCAGCTAGAGCTAATAACTGGTAAATCATAAACCATAACTGGTTCGTTGTATATTTGCAATACATTAAGAGTCTCTATAACAGAAAATATTAAATTCCATCAAGAAAAAGAAGGAAATCGAAATTCAAAAACAGCAAAATTAAATTATATTATAATCAAAGTCCAACATAAAACCTTAATTAAAAAGAGAGAAATAGCGCCTGAAGTTCACCTTCATATCCATTATGACACTTCCATAATAAGTAGCTAATGATCAGGAGAGGATTGTTGTTGCTCTGGTGGTTGTGGCCACATTTGTGGTGCCATGTAGGGATGAGACTGCTGAGCATACATATTAGGGTCCATCATAGGCTTACCCATTATGACACCGGCAGTTCCAACGTGCTGTCCAGGTTGAGGTGGCATATAGCAATAAGGAAGTGCATCAGCAGGCCCTGCAACAGGCATTGTTTCTCTTGGTATTGATGCAAGCACTTCATCTTTCAAGTCCTCCCTAGGCACAATGTCAACCAAGAAATCAAAGATATCAGTTCTTGTTATGGCTCCTGCAATATCATTCTTCTGAAGTGTCCTCCTTTTGTTCTCTTCAGTGTGATTCCAAGAACGCAAGGTTAACTCTAAAATGAACATTTCACATGCCCTTGCAAATATGACCGGTGCCTCAGCTGATATCATTCTAACATCCTCATCAGCCTTCATAATCTTCTTGATCCTCGCCAAGGGAAGGCTGTGGTTCTTGAAATCAATTACCTTCTCAATTTCTTGATATTGGTTGGCCCAAAAGGCTTGGAGCTGTTGCTGAAGTTGCTGAAGTTGCTGCTGTTGTTGCTGATGAATATGCTGATAAGCAAGTTGATGTTGTCCTAGCTGAGTTCCAGCTGGTTGACCTGTGGATTGAATGGTCCCAACAGATGTAACAACCATCCCAGGTGACCCAGTTAAATGGTTGGGCTGGTATGGATTAGAACCATAATTCAATTGTGGTCCACCACCCACAACCCCCATAGAAGGGTTCTGGCCATGCCCTTGATGATCCATCCTATCCTGTTCCTGGTGAAAACAAACAAATCAATGCCTACCCTTCACATGCAACCAAAGGTGGAATAATGGAATCACAAAACATACAAAACCAGAAATGCAACAAGAGAAAGGGGCCTCCAATGTGGTGTTTCTCAACCATGTGTGGCCATCCAGATTCTCTCAGAAAAACACAAGAAGAAACAGGCATATCCAATTCTCTGTATGCATTGAGCAAAACAACTATCAAATTTAATCAGAAAATATTAATCTCAACCCAAATTAATCACCTAATTTAGAACTAAATCTGTTCACAGGTTCACTTCTCCACATAATAGCCATCATAGGCCACAAGTATTCCTCCCAATTCCCGGGATTCATAGGGAAGAAAATCTTAGATGTTGACACAGTAACAAGGAAAGATAAACAAAGGAGAAACTTCTCTTCATTTCCATCACACATCAGTTTCACAATACATAAGACAAATGTAGATATGCATATATAAAACTACATAGATATATGTATTTCCAGAATAAGAGTTGCTACCTTCTCTGACGGGTGATGTTTTCTCTGCAAATATAAAGAACCTGAAAAGGAAAATAAAAGAAAAATAAAAAAGGAAAAGAGAAAGAGAAAATGATCAGTAATTCTCTTTATATTTCAAAGATCCATGTATGAGAATTCTAGTGGGTCGAACAACAGAAGCACTTTTTAGAATGTTTTTCCGTACGGAAGAAGATCCAAATATTTTTTTACAGCCGACAAGAAATTTAGGGCATCATATGAATATATGAAAAAAACAGAGCTTTGAGCTTTCCTTACAATGAACGATGCTTTTTCGGGAAGTCCCAGAAAAAAAGCAGATTGTGATCTACTCTGACTTAAATTGTCAGAATTTTTTTTTTTTTTTTTATTTTTTTTTATTTTGGCCTTTCCCTTGTTTTGGCCTCCACCACTCCACCAGATAAGAAAATCTAGTAATAAAAGATGTTATTACTATAAAAGAAAAAAAAATATTTCTTCATTAAATCAAATTAAATGTATTCTTTTATATCTGACAATCTATTAGGTAGTGTTTGGTTGAAGGTTTATTTTGGGATTGATGGAAAAGTGTAAATGGATATTGGAAAATACCACGTTTGGTTCAGGTTTTTTCAAAAAAATACCAGGCAAATAGGATAGATGAGAAAATGACTTTTGTGTTAATTTTTGGATGAAATTCACTGTTACAGAATACCACTTGAGATGTGGTATTTTGAGATAACTGGGGAAGTGAAAAAAACAGGTCCAAAGTTTCTCCCGAACATAGATTTTGCATATTTAAATAAATTTCTCTGGTAATATTTGGGTCAACCAAACAACTTTTTTTATATTTTCCTACCAAACTCATTTTCCAACCATTTCCCTATCAATTACATTTCCCTAATAAAAAAAATTTCTACCGAACCAATCACTACCTCGAGCTTTCCATCAAAACATACTTACATATATTGAGTTTTCACTTTTCACGGTAGTTTTTCCAACAGTAAAGTAACATCAAAAGACTTTTTTATTGGATACAGTTGTATTATTGACTATTATAATCACCGCATTAATGTTTTCATGGTATCTGTTTATTATAGTCGTGTATATATTCTTTTCAATATAGCGTAGCACTATCTACGAAATGCTAGTTTAAAATAATAAAATAATAAAAAGAAATCATACTACATAAGTACATATCAAATTATCAATATATCACAGTATTGATTCATGATTTATTGATTTAATTGTGATTGAACTGATAATAATTTTTTACATATATTGAATAATAAATTAACATAAAATTACGTCAGAGTTTTAAATTAATATAAAAAGATCCTATAATGCGTTTTATAAAATATAAAAACAATTATAGACTAAATAATAATTATTTGCCAAATTTCACACAATCATTCAATTCGGTCTTGGAGTGGCAATTTGGGTTGACTTACCCGCCCCGCCAAAAACAGGGCAGGTTGACCCGCCATAAAATATGGGTTAGAAAAATAAACCTACCTCGTTTTATGGTGGGTTGGCGGGTCAACCCACCAATCCGCCAATTAAAAAAAATTATTTAAAATTCAAAGATAAATTACATTTTATGAATTTTTTTAATATTATTTTATTTTATTTCACACTTCTCTATATTTTTTTAGTCTCAATCTTAAATGTATACTAATATTTGTTAAACATTCTTTAGGAATTTATATATAGATAACATTAGTCATAAATAAAATTGTTATTCTTTATTTTTTCTAGGAAGTACTAAGATAAAAAAAAAAATTGGATATCACAAAAATTTAAGGACTAATGAAATACTACCTAATTGTAAAAAAAATAAAAAATAAATTATAACCCAGCAGATCAACTCGCCCCGCAACGGTTTGAACCTGTTTTGACCCACTTTTAAGCGGGGCGGGTTGAGGTGGGTTGGTGGGTTGAAAACTTCAACCCAACCCGCCCCGTTTTGGCGGGTTGACGGGTTAACCCGCTGGACTCAACTCATATTACCACCCCTAATTCGATACAGTTTAATTTTGTAATTTATGTACATTATCAATTATTTATGAGCTGCTTATTGTATATAGTAGACTTTATATTAATAATAAAAAAATACTTGACTATTCATTTTAAACATTGTACCCATAAGTCAAATTAAAGAGTAACATCATTCACTCAAGTTAAATATATAATTAAAATATATATAGAGAAAACATTTTCTCCTTTTAAAGAAGAAAATTTTTCTCTTATTAGTGACTCATAGTATAAGTGGGACCTACAAAATAGTGGAGAGAAAAAAAGATTCAATATGAGACCCACTTATGCTATGAGTAACTAGTAGAAAAAAAATATTTTCCCATATATATATTAAAAAAAAATTGTGAGTGGCATTATTTTAAATTTATTACCCCTTCATTGAAACGGATTCTGCAAAATGAGCCATTAAATAAGTCATTATTGATGTGATTATGAGTAGTGTTTTTCAACACCCAAAAGGCATAAGCCAACTAGACCAAAACAGAATATATAGCCATAACATTTGTGATGTTCATGGAAATGGAATTTACCCATGTTTATCCTCTTTTTTAAGCTTTCCCCCCATAGAGTGAACTTGTTCACACCCTTGATGAGAGAAGAGAGAGAGTAAACCATCAAACCAAGCTGTTAATGATTTGCAGGTTGCCAGGGTGAATAGGGGTTTCTTAGTTATTTTTTTGGTGAACACCTATGCAAGCCTCACAAGCAATGTTAGTGTACCAATGTTCAATATACTCATCTATTAAATACTTTGGTGGGAAGCTGATGAGTTGCATTCTATAAAGAAGGAGAACTAAAACCAACTGAGCAAGAAATTTGGATTCAGAGAGACCTCTTAAATAGTTACTTAATATGAGGATTGTTCAACATCTAGTTATCAGCTCATTGTGGTGTTGTTTACGAATCTTCTTCATGATGACCGTTCTGATGTGTAAGGGGAGGTGGTGCACCTACAAAGACACTGATGCTCAAGATGAATGAGGCAGAAAATGCAATGGGTCAAGGGTGTCTACCTGAAAGTTTTGCTTATGCATTCATGATGGAATGACGAGGATCTAGGGTTTAAGGTTCAAAGCATGTGATAACATATATAGGCTATCAACTTCGTGCAATTTCCTAAGAAGGTTTTGTGAAAGTAAAGAGTGAATGCCATTTCCTCCACCCTACTCCAATCCAATAGGCATATACTTTGTAAAATAGAAACTAACAGAATTAAAAGGTAGGATATTCTTACTATCAATTTTTTCTATTACCACTCCACTACCACTTTAATCACCATTGGATTCAAAAGTTATTTTTTTCTTCTCTCTTTATTCAACTTTTCCTCTAATCCAATGGTGATTAGAGTGGTAGTAGAAAAAATGGGTAGTAAGAATATTCTAACTCCATAATTAATAGCAAATTATTTACATATAAGAAACTCATTTAAGATTTTGATTAATTTCATGTTCTAATATACAATGATAATTTTAAAGTGACACTTACAATACCAAATGCTTCTTCTTCTTCTTTTTCCTTTCTTTGTAAACAGTGCCAAATGCTTTTAATAATTAGGAATGACGACTGAAGATTTTAATTAAACTAAGAAATAATGTGCTACTTCACTTCCATCATGTCTAATCTTATTTTATCATTTCAATTAGTAATTCGTAAATTGTAGAGGGAATTTCCCATAAAAACTTGGCTTTACACCAAGATCAAATTCTATTTACCAAACTATCCATACAAAACTCTGACTCCATAGGCGTCTGCATCCATCATCAATCAAATTGGTGTTACTGGTGAAGCTTTTTAAGCAACCACTTTCTTCTTGCGGTTGAATCCATTGCCACAAACATCCCAGCCTTCCTTTCGTCTTCTAGAAGTAAACAAGCCTCCAAGAAGAGCTCATCATCCAAATCTGGTACAGTTTGAAGAGCAGCAACAATGCGTTCTATTGAGTCGTCTATTTTATCTTCTAGATCATCTTGCATCTCACCTAGTAATGTTTTTTGAACTTTTCTAGCATTTGAGGAAGTCAACGCAGCTTGAGATTTTCGTCTTTTTCTCCCATCAGAAATTTTAAATACTCTAGCTGAAGATTGCAGGTCTCTCATGATTTCGTTAGTCTCCACCCCAAAATTATTATTACTTGTGTTCAATTTTATTCTCGCACAGCCCGGTATTCTATTCTGGTTTAGATTCCCAAAAAGTAAGCACAAACCACTATAATTGTCTCGGATAGTCTCTCCAAAAGCAACGGCCTCTGGATAATCCTGCATAATGTCATTTGTCAGAGCTAGCAAACATTATTTATCAAAGCTCCCTACAACTATCAAAACATATCTTTTAGGTCATTCCAAAGTTGGTCTGTTAAAACTCCTAAGACACAGTACATGTTGCAATAGAGTTACAATTTCCCATGCAAGACTGTCATTTCTATCATTACCATAAGATGCATATGTTGGGTATAGTCGATATAATTAATGTCATGCTTTAAGGAGTGGCATGGGAAGCAGGTATTTGTGTCAAGTGAGGGCAATGAGTCAATGAAGCCCCTTCCGGAAATTATGTATAAGTTGCGTTAATAACCAAAGGAAACACCCAATATATAACCAATGAAAAGGTCATGCACCTCAAAATAAGCCCGCCAAACATCATTTGCCCTTGCTTTGTGCTGAATTTTATCCAAGACAATGCCATTCTGATTTAGAAGATATGTAACATCCTTGTAGACTCTCGTGAGACCAAAATACCAATTTTCTAGTGCATCTCTGTCACATAGTAGTCCAAACTCTTTATTGAATGATGCAGTCATCCTGGACCAAGCTTTCTTACTGAATGTATCACCGATCTTATTCCCTCTATTCAACTGCTCCAATAAAAGGCCAATCAGATAATGGTTCATTTCCACGGTCCAAGCTATACTCGTAGGTTCATCATTAGCAGGTGAATGGTAGTACTCCCAAACATCTACACATTGAAGAAGTAACTCCAATTATTACACAAGGTGATGACTCACTCCCAAATACTCTTTCAAATAAATCAAAGGCGTTGCTTTGAAGTGTTCTTCCAGAAAAAACAAGCTTTTACATCATATATAATCTATTAGGACTTAGCACTAATTTCCAATATATAAATACAGTAGACCGAAGACAACTACAAGAAACTACACATGGACAAACAAAGAAAATACCAGTACTCGGTTCATTATCCTTGGAAACCCTAGAGCAGCCAGAATAGTTTTGATTTCTGCCACGGTTTGTATTTCCATATATCAAAAACAAATCATTGAAATTTGGAAGAGTTCTATTGCGATATGCATTTAAATGAGGGTGTGCCTGCAAAATTATAGGACAGCTAATATCGGCATTAAAATATCCAAAACACCAAAACAAAAAAAACAAAAAAACAAATTTACTAGGAAGAAGCACCTTCACATAAACATCCCACAATCTTTCATCACCAGTAATCATCTGCTGCATTTCATCCCAGGCAAACCCACTCTGGCTAAGCAGAATCTTCATATCATCAAACCTCTTTCTCAAATTCAAATAACGACTTTTTAAGACATATTTGTTATACTGGGACCCAAATTCTGCACTAAATTTGGCCACCATATCTCTCCAGGCTAATCTGTCAAACTTATGATCAATCATGATGCTTCCATTCCGCACTTCCTCTAACATCAAGTCCATAAAATACCGATCCATTGGTGGTGTCCAGTCACTTGTCCAGTGAAAACTTTGAAATTTTACGCCTTAAAAAAATATCACCAGCATGAACATAAAGGAAAGTGGCATTACCTATACTCTAATAAATACTTTAAATTTACATACTCAGTGTTAAGGGTGAACCCCCAGTGCACAATGCTCCCCGACTTAAGAGGGTAGGGGTGAGGGTCGACGTTACGTAACCTTACCCTTACATTCTTCGCAAAAAGACTGTTTCCCAAACTTAAACCCATGACTTTTAGGTTATAAGGAGCAACCTTAGCACTGCGCTAGGGCTCGCCCTCTACATACTCAGTGTTAATCACAAATAAATTAGGGGAGAATGCTCAGCATAAGCAAAGCATAATCACAACGTAAAAGTCATAAACACAGAATCCGAGTAAGACATAAAAAATACAATAAGATCGTCAAAATGAAAACTTACAGTAACCATTGTATCCAACATTTTGATTAGCTAGGTTACATGTCGTCAACTCAGTATCCAAATTTCCATAAATCAAGCATAGATCATTATAATTTGGCTTTTGATGGTCTCTGTAAGAATTTGCATCAGGATGCTCCTGCATATTCCAAGGTCAGCCACCAAGAATTGAAACTAAAAAATAAGACAAAATAAATGTAACACACCATAATATAAGCATCCCAAACACCATCATAAGCAGTGATCATTTGCCGTGTTTCATCCCATGAGAATCCTCTCTGTTCAAGAAGACTTCTCAAGTCGTGGTATAACTTTTCCATACCCTTACAACGATGCTTGAGGTAGTTTTCCTCAAATTGTACACCAAATCTTTCCTTGAACAATACAACCATATCTGTCCACGCTTGACTGTTGAGAACATAATCAATCTTGTTCCCCCTCCGAACTTCTTCTAGCATCAGGTCGATGAGATAACGGTCCATGCAAGGTGTCCAATCACCTATTGCACAGTCTTGGGTGTCCTCATCAACTCCATCAGAGTGATACTCATTTTCTCTGCCTAAAGACAAAAAGAAACCTAATTATAGGAATTCACCCATAAAACATTTGTATGGTTTCAGAAATCGCAAGATGAATAAAGTTCTCATGGGTTTCAATATATAGACATCTACCTACAGATATATGAAAGGAAAAGCAAAACCAGAAAAATAAAATTTCTAGTATTTGATAAAGAATTGAGATCTAAAACAATGTTGCTACTTTCACATATTACCTATTCTAGGGTCAAATATGTATCTAAAAATGTTCAATATTGGATCTACTATTTGACATTAACTAAACAATCCAAAACATAATTATAAGCTATAAATGGTTGGTACCAATGAATTGAAATGAGAAAGTTCACTGATCTAGGATTGTAATAAGTAATCCTTATTGTTTTTACCTTCCAGCATGTAACTGCAATGTCCATTGCACATAGCATCTCTATATATCAATCCCAAGTCTCGATAGTTAAGCAAGGTCTTGTTCCTATACAAACTCACGTGTGGGTGTGCCTACATAGACACTTACATGTAAAATCTGAAAAAAAAAGAAAGAAGAAAGAATTCCCTTGTCATAATGGACAAAATACTATACCTTGATGAAGTTATCCCAAACATAATCATCAGCAACAATCCTTTGTTTCTTTTCATCCCACGAAAAATCTTTTAATTTAAGTAGATTTTTTATATCAGAGTAGTAATTCCCAAGTTTATCGTAACGGTGTTTTAAGAAGCTTTTATCATACTGCGCATCAAACTTTTTGTTGAAGAACTTAACCATATGGTTCCATGCTTTTCTGCTGAATGTATTACCCACCATATTGCCATTTTTAAGTTGGCCCAGCATAAGCTTCACAAAATACTCATGTAACTTGATTTTTTTTTCCTCTGCTAATTCAGTGCCGCCCCCACCCCCATCGGCATTCAATAAATAATAATTTTACTTGAATAAGTGCCGCACATAGCTCCCATCGGCACTGATTTTCAATTTTTTTTTATTAAAAGTTCCGCCCAGCCCCTCCCTCGGCACACGTTAACAGTAACTTGAGCAGAGCAATGTTCTTCATGGTCTTCGTTGTGGGGCTTCTGTTGGGTGCTGAGGCCACTCCCCAATTTAAAAAACTCAAGGCCACGATTCAACCAGCATCACCTACAAGTGAAGCAACAATGGTAAGGAATCAGCATCAATTCCAAGATGGAGCCTTGGAGGTGAGACTCTCATGTGAGCATGTTGATAGTAAGTATCACACACTAATGAGCAATGGACGCTGGAGCTGGGTTTTTGGTGGCTTATTCTGGGGCATTTGTTTGCTCCTCTCTGCTCTTCTCTCTTATTCTGGGGTATTTGTTTGCTCCTCTTCTTCCCTTCCCTTTTGTTTCTCTGCTTGTCCTCATTGTTATTAAACCACAAGGGTTCCTTTTCTGCTTAAAACAACGAATCTCTTATGAAATTAAACTGTCGATTTATGGAACTGAAAACAATGGTGTTGTCGAGAAGAAATACGAAGATGTAAATTAGTTTAGCTTCGGTACATTCTTCAATCCTTCATGTTTCTAATAATATGCTCTGACTCAACAAGCCTGTTAGAAAAATGACTACAAATTTACAATTTAATTTGCAGATGTTCTCATCTACAAATTCGGATATGAAATGGTTATCACTTGATACAAATGTGAGGCTGTAAAAGTCAATTTTGTTCCTTGTACAACTAACAAGATTCCAATGTACCTCAGGGAAAAAACTAAAGGAGCTACAAATGGATAAAAGGGAGATAGAAGAATTTCACAGATTTGGAAACAATGAAAGCGAGAGAACAGTAAACTATATGAATGCCGATAGGAGCTATGTGCGGGACTTATTCAAGTAAAAATATTATTTATTGAATGCCGATGGGGGGTGGGGGCGACACTGAGTTAGCAGAGGAGAAAAAATCAAGTTACATGAGTGCCGCGGGGATCTGGGGCGTCATTTAGATACGCTGGGTCCCCTCCGCGGCACTTAAAGACCCCAAATCGTAATTATTCCCGTGCACATACCAAATTCGTAAATTTAAAGCAAAAATCATAAAGTGCACCTTGATATAGGAATCCCAGACATTATTACTGGCAATCACCATTTGTCTAGTCTCATCCCAAGAAAATCCATTCTGGTCAAGAAGATTCTTTATGTCATTGAACTGCATCCACAAAGTCATGTAACGACTTTTGAGGAGATTCACATCATAAAGAGACCCAAAGTTAGCATTGAACAAGGCCAGCATTTCATTCCAAGCTTGTTTGTTGAAAGTATAGCCCATTCTATTGTCCCTATGCACCTGATCCAACAACATACCAATGAAATAGCTTTCCATTTCAGGTGTCCAATTTGTCCCCGATGGCTCACCACCTCCCATTTCTCTCTTCTCCTGCAATGTAAATAATCAAAGCTTTGCTAACATAACTGATAAAGAGTCAACCTTGGTGGAAAGACAGATAACAACTAACTGTAAGTATATAACAGAAAAACAGAAAGCTAACTGACACGTAACTAATTATGCAACTAAATCAGAACTAACATAATCAGAATTATTCTGTAATAAACCTAGTGACAGTTCATAACTAATTTTGCTTCAGGTGTTAATGTTTGAATAATGAGGAGCAAAATGAACTACTAAGAAAACTGGAAATGAAAGTATAATCATCGTCAGAGTAAACGCACACGTATCAATCAACAAAAACATGGAATTCAGCTCGAATTTGGAAGCGAAAATGGCAGAGAAAGCACAACAAATTAAATTCGTAAACGGAAAGAATAGCAATTACGACAGCAAGTGATAATTCTAAGAGTTATTATTCGGAAAGGGGTTTGGTTTCTCCGAGTGACCAAACAGCAGATTCATACGAGAAATTAGAGATCGGTAAGTACCTTAGAATTTCTAAGGGTAAGGAAACACTGTTTCTTACGTGTTCATACAGCAACAGCAGCCCTGTTCATGTTCCAGCTTAATTATTTCTCACTCTTCAATTTTGAAACATTTTTCCAAATTAAATAGCATATTAAAATTGAAACATTTAAAAAATATATATATATATTTCTCAACTGCTTCGTATGAGCTTTTCCCATCAACTTCTTAAATTAATGTCGCAGCTCAAACAAATAAGTCATATTTTTATTAATTAGAATTTGGGATTTATAAGTAGGGAATTAATTTTCTCATTTTACGTGAGAAAATTTTCTCATGCTACACCCACAATACATGAGTGGGGTCCACAAAAAAATCAAAATGGAATCCACTCATGTATTGTGAGTGTAGCATGAGAAAATTTTCTCGTAATGAGAAAACTATTTCCCTTGTAAGTATTATGTGCCAGGAAACTGGATTCTACTGCCACATTGAGAGAACAGTTCATGGGTCCTAGTAAAAAAAGTAACGGAAAAAAAAATAAATGTAGATCCCACATTTATTTGGATCTGTAGGGAAAACGCTTCCAGTCCTCTGACATAAGGATTGCAAAGCCCTTAAAATTTAGATGGATATACGTAACCAGATGTGAAGAAAACAAAAATGCAATTTTATGATATGGTATTTTTTTTAATATAAAATTTGAATATGAACTGATCTTATATTGGTCTGCATAAAAATTAATTAAAAATTTAGTAATCGTTTATTTATTTATTGGCTAAAAAACGATTGTTTATTTATACATGTACGTTATATATTATAAAAGGGTTTGTGTTTTCTAAAGTTATTTTAGATAACTTTATCTAATGTTCACCGAAACGACATTGTTTTGGGGTGAAAATCATTGTGTTTTTGTAATTTTAGTTTATTTCAGGGTTATAATAGTCTTTATCATTCTAATTTTTAAATTTTTTAACCCTAAAACGACATCGTTTTGATGAACATTAGATAAAGTTATCTAAAGTAACATTAGATATTTTTTTCCCTTATAAAAGCTGATGTCTTATTTCCCCCACAAACAAAATGTAAACACTTTCCATGGGAAAAAAAAACTTCTAAACTATTCTTGAAAGAGCGTTTATTTTCTTTTATATTAAAAAAAAATTAGTAAAGGCCATTTAATAGAACTTGAGAAAAAAAATTCTGTGAAAATAAACTGTTTTACTCATGCTAAAATATACTACTCATTTGGCACATATGGTAAGAAATCTGAGTCCGTTAATCAGAAGTCTCGAATTCCAGTCCTAAGAATGAAAAAAAAATTAATTTCAGAGAACTACCTCCAAAAAAGTCCAAGGTTCAACAGTACTTAATGGAGATTAATCTTAAATTATAACTAGATGATATCCTTGAAATTACTCAAATATATATATATATATATATATATATATATATATATATATATATATAGGTAAGCTGGATCAAATTCATCCCTTAATTTGTATAGATAATTGACTTCTTGTTGACCTCATTATACCTCCTTTACCGGGACAATGCTGATATTTTCGTAAGTCACAATAGAAATAATACCTCGAGGGGCGTTTAGTCGAAGAAATTTTTTTGGAATAGTAGGGAAATGTAATAGATAGAAAAATGATTGGAAAGATAGATAAAGTGAGATAGGTAGAAAAATGTAAAAAAAAGTTGTTTGGTGGGAAAAAACTTTACTGAAAAAATCAGGTAACTTTATGAAATCAACAGTGCATTAAAAGTCAGATAACCGGTTTTCCGAAAAATCTCACCTTCCAATTGGGTTTCTAAACAGTACGGATATCTATGTTTCTCATAAATCCATACAAATTGGATAGATGGATTTTTGGTGAAAATACATTGAAACAAACATGTGTTTCTAAAAGCCATACTTGATAAACATAGATATCTGCTGAAAAGCTCCCAACCAAACACCACCCAAAAGTCTTTTTCACTCTTTATTAATCATTTAAAAAAAATGAATGAGTTGTTAAGTTTTTATTTTAGTTTTACCCTTAATATTGATTACTAATGTAAAGAACCGATTTAACCCAAAACTTAAACTGTTGGGTGAGGTTACATTAATGATTTTATATATCTCAACACGCCCCTTCACACGAGAGTCCACTGAGCTTGAAAGAAAGTGGGGGACTTGGGTGAGGTTACATTAATAATTTTATATATTTCAACACGCCCCCTCACACGAGAGCTCACTGAGCTTGAAAGAAAGTGGGGGTGGTGAGGATCGAACCCGGGACACGAGGCTCTGATACCATGTAAAGAATCAATTCAATCCAAAAGTTTAAGCTGTTGAGAGAAGCTACATTAATGATTTTATATATCTTAACAACTAAAATAAAATTAATAGAGTAATAATAATATTTAAGTATTTTAATAACAAATAATTTAGTCAAAAATAATTTTTTATTTAAGGTTAAAATTATTCAGTAACTTTCTTAAATAACCTGGACAAAAAAATGAAAGAATACTTAAATCAGGTACTATAATTTTTAAATAAGCAATACCTAATCATACCCAAAAAAAAATACACTTTTTTTTTTGGTAAAAAACAATACACTTATCTCTAAAGGAGCATACACATGTAATTAGGGGTGTTCATCAACCGATCCAAACCGATTCAAACGGCGAAAACCGAACCGAAAAACCGATAACCGAATAAACCGAAAATCGAAAAATCGGAAACCGAAAGAAAACCACAAATTTTAATTGGATTGGATCGATTTTCGGATGGATTAATGAAAACCGATCCAATATATTAATTATCCTCTACCTACTTGTCCTTTCTCCAATCATAGCCCAAAAATTTCTAAACTCAAGACTAATTAACTCATCAACTAAACCCAAAAAAAAACTTAGTCACGTCTCATCAACTATAGTATTGTTTACTGATATTTTTGTATTTCAATTTTATTTTTTTTACAAAGCTAATATATACAAAAGATGCTATTTGCACAATAATCATGAAATTAATTTTAGGATATTCAAAAAACCAAAAACCGATCCAATCCAAACCAAAAAAAATTGGATTAAATCGAATCGGATTTAAAAAAAAATCTTAACCGAATAGATAATTACATGATCAAACCGAAAGGATTGGATCAGATGAGTTTTACTTTCAAAACCGATCCAATCCAGACCGCAAACACCTCTACATGTAATGTTAAACGGAGTACTTACGATAAACAACGCCCACTCAAAAATTTCTTATCATCATTTCCATTTAGAAAATGTTAAAATAAAGATTTTATCCAATAACTTAAATGATAATTTGTGCAAATATTGTGAGTAAATTATTTGAGCAAAATTTGTTTTTCTATTATGTTCAAAGGGGACAATGCCTTTGCTTACAACAACCAGAAATATAAGTCACTAATTCAAACTTATTTTTTTAAATCAGGAACACTAGCCAAAGTAATTTCAATAGCTAAATGGTCATATGGGCGCAACAGATTTTAAAAAATGTTCAATAAACAACATAACACATGCAAATTTTCTAACATTCAAGTATTCAAACTCTTTCATTTTAACTATGCCAAACATCATATCTCTTTTCCCAGGTTATATTTTTTCGGCTAAACTTTAAATCCGTTAGAAAAGGCTAAAGTTACAGCAATACATCAACATCATATGAAAGCTTCATCTATATTCCTCTGGTAATCGATACCCTGGCATGACAATTTTGTCGGCAAACATTTTGCCAGTCTTGGGCATAACATGCCAGTGCATTGTCAAGTTAAATTCTTTACCGCGCAAATTCCTTCCCTAGACATGAAAAAATGGGAAAATTAGAGCCTAAAGAAATCTGAAGTAAATTATGCTAGTAATAACATCCTTGAAGAGTTGTGTACCTGATCAATGAAGCGGTACTTATTGGAAGTATGAATCCAAAACTTAGCATGATCTTTAGAAGGAATTATGCCATCCCACAGCGATAACTATAAATATGCGTCTCAAAAGCATAAGCAATATACATGACATAGCATAAAGCACAGCTTGATATGTAAAAGAACAGAGATGCAAGATAACATGCAATAACATAATACTGAAATCCTATGGCTTTCTTTTGTTCTTTCCTTTTTGAAACATCCCTCCTAAGTCCTAAGTTATAATCTAAATATTTAAATTTCAAATTCAAGCTGAAAATAAACTGATCAAATCATACCTGATTCACGGAATTCTTAGAGGTTTCATACTCAGCAGCTAAAAATACAAAAACCTGCAAGCATATAAAAAGAGGTAAAACTCAGACCCTGGACAGCATTGAACTTCTACTTCCTAATTATGTAGAATAAGTGATCAGAAAACAGGATCCCGTGCATCAAATGCAAGTATCATATTAAGCAGTTCCAATACTTCTATAGAAATATATTTTGTACAGAACATAGAAACAGAGAATGGCAAGACTAGAAATTTAGGAAATGAAGCAAGATATATGGATGCGTAAGGCACCTTTAAAATTAAAATTTAGACACCCCTTAAGATGGGAAGAACAAAGAAGAGCAGGCAAAATCGACAAAACATTAAGACATGCATCACTTCACTATAGTCAAACTTGTTAATTTCCACTCATCCCGCATCCAATCCTCCCATTTTATCCATTCTTTCAGGAAGCAAAGAGGGACAAAGACAAAAAAACCAGTATTGATTACAATGAATAATAGAAATTCAAGTCAAGAACCTGTTTTGTGTTCCATGTGAAAAGAGACTGCAAATCTGCTGATATATTCATTGTCATGCTGACCTGCAATAATAGAAGGGATTTTCACAACAGATCGACCGACGACCAATGAATTAAGATGGCATTTGAATATCAGAGAGAAAGACATCAAAAAGAGTTGGTTTATGACGCAATGTGATATAAGATTAAGATCACATGCAGAGGACTATACGCATGACACATGTTTATAGTATATTACATGGTAAGCACTGGATCTTTTGCACGACATATAGCACATCACAGTGATTAAATTATTTTGCCATGCCTGGCCACTATAAAATTGACTTCCATTTATTTACAATTATCCATGTCAGTGTTCTTGAATAGTTTCAAGCATGCAAGAGAATTATTTGTACATAGTATGTAAAATATGGACATCCAACAAGCATTTGAAGCAATTACCCAAAGGGAATTTGGTGACTTGAAGTCAAGCTCTTTATGAAATTTAAACTTATTTGAACAGATACCACCTACCTAGGTTAAACCAAAAAATGTTGAGGGTTCTATCAAAAGTTCAGGAATTAAATCATCAAAGATCAGTTTGAATTTCAGTTCTGTTTAGATAAAAATACATTGATAATGCTGTGAAGCTCTATTCTTGTCATGGTTTCATAAGTAATTCCACCCTATGCTGCACGATGCTGAATGACCACCATGACTAAAAATCTTCTTTTCTTAAACCCTATAACGAAATATTATATCCAATTACAAAGATCCATTCTGTCCTCAATGACATCCAAATTATGATACCTTAAATACCCTAAACCATTCAAACAGAATCTGTCAAATTACTGTTCAGATTTCAGAAGTACAGTTGACAGTCATAGAAAATGGAATAGGGAAACAGAATCTTCAGTATGTGGAATAAATTTACTCCTCCTCCCTCATTTCATTCCAATAGTTTCCCTCATTCAGACCTTTCAGAAGCCTATATGACAACACAATAAGTTACTAATCAGACTAACATTCCAACCAACCAACCCTTACCGTGCTCCTATTGTATTTTTTTTATTTTTTTCATAATTATTTTAATGTTCTATTATATCTCAAACGAAGCCCAATCCTAAATCCCAAAAGCAGGAAGAAAAAAAAAACAATATGAATTGAATTCAGAAGAAAACATAAAAAAAGAGAATTACCTCGTCGTTGCCATTGGGCTGTTTCTGAAACCAGTTAATGTTCAAGACCTACATGCATACACACACATACACAATCAAATCATATTAGGTTAAGGAATCAGTGAATTACAGATCTGCAAGAGAGAGAGAGAGAGAGAGAGAGAGAGAGACCTGGACTTGGGCAAAGGGAGAGGGAGAGTTGAGGTTGTCAGAGAGAGAAGCAATGGCACACATAAGGGCCAGAATGGTTATGGCGAAGGTTAACAAAGCATTCGCTCTGTAACCACAAGAATGCATTTTTCTTCTGATTTCTTCCAATACACAAAAGAGTTACACACTGCTCTACTACTACTCGAACTTTGGTGCTAACTCTGAGTTTAAATAGATCAGTCTGACTAACCTTATTATATAAATATAATTTATCCACACATAATATACAATCAACAACACTAATAATTCTATAAATATTCATAAATTCAAAGTATATTCAAATAACATTATATAGAATAAAATCATTCAAAAAGTCTATTTAACCAATAAAATGAGGTAAAATAAATTGAAGAGAAAGAAAAAACTATTACAAGTAGTAAAAAAAATATAAATAATAATAATAATATACTAAGCTAGCCTGAGAGGCTCTAAGATTTTGAATTGGAACGTAAAGCCTTTTTATTAAACGGGCATTTATACAAGTTTAAGTCCGGTGCCAACAATCAATTTTAAATATTTAAGTTCAGACCTTCACGAGTCGAGTCAAAAAAATGATTCTTTTAGCACTCTACAAACAAAGCTTATCATAGATTCATAGTTCATTTTAGGTCAATTTCAACAATTTAAAAATTAATTATAAAAAAATAATTTTAAAAGTGATTTTATTATAAGTAAAAATTTTATTCACAGTTAATTCACTTTTCTATCTCAAAAAATAATAGTTCATTTTTCGTTACTGTCTATATTAAATGATCGGTTCGTTTCAGCTTAATTTTCGCCAGGGATTCCAAAATAAATTGGCAAAATTATAAGAAGTTTGGACAAGCTTGTTCATAAAATAGCCCAAGTTAATCAGCCTTTCCTATTTGGGCTACTCAACAACAAAACGAGAACGTAGAGTCCATTTAGTCTTTTCGCGTGTAAGGCCCACTTACTCCATCCTACAAAACTTGTGTGCGGACAATGACTAAAATGACATACTATTAACAAAAAATTACTTCAATGCCACGGTTTTAAAAAATGTCACATCACCTAACTTGCTATGTGTGAACACGTGACAGTAAGTTTATGACCATGTAAGCCGCTACACATTGCCGCGAGATTATATGGCACACAGCATGTCAAACTCGCTATGGTACATAACATGATACGTGCCAGCTTGACGTGTTACATGTCAGATACGTGTCAAACTCGCTACGCTACATAACATGTTACGTGTCATTTTTTCTGACACTTGACCATCCAAGTTGTGTTGCATAACATATTATGCATAACATATTATGTGTAAATAACCAAGTAGTCTAGCGTTTTTAATCTAATAAATTCAGTACTCCTAAAAATAATTAATTAACAGTTCTAAAATAATTTAAATTAATAAAAGTAAATTAAACTAAATTAATTAACAGACATAAATTAAATTTAATTCATTAACATTTCTAAATTAAATTAAATTACTTAACAATTAACATAAACTAAATTAAATAAAATTAATTAACACTCCTAAAAATAATTAATTAATAGTTCCAAAATAATTTAAATTAACAGAAACTAAATTAAACTAAATTATTTAGCAAACATAAATTAAATTTAATTCATTAACACTCCTAAATTAAATTAAATTACTTAATAGTTCAAAACATAATTTAACTTAACATAAACAAAATTTAATGGTCCTAAAGATAATTAATTAACAGTTCTAAAATTATTTAAATTAAATAAAACAAAATTAAACTAAATTAATTAAAAAATATAAATTTAATTTACTTCATTAACACTCCTAAATTAAATTAAATTACTTAACAATTAAAAATAATTTAACTTAACATAAACTAAACTAAATTAAATTAATTAATACATTAAATTAAATTAATTAACTCACATAAATTAAATTAAATTTACAGTCCTAAATTATATTATTTTAACATAAGTTATTTAAAACTAAAATATTCAAACCAATATTAATTTTCTTTAAATCATTTTATTTCAACATACAAAATTTAATAATTAAAATTATCCTATAATTTATTATACCACAATGATGCAAAAAATGAGAAGGGAAATGGTAAATTTATTAGAACAAAAACACTGGACTGCTGGGCTACTTACACATAATATGCTATACAACATAGCTATGACCATGTGTCAAAAAAGTTGACACGTAACATGCTATGCAGCATAGTGAGTTTTGACAAGTGTCAGACATGTAACACCTCAAGCTGGCACGTAACATGTTATGCAGCAGAGCGAGTTTGACACACTCTCTGCCACGTAATCTTGCTGCACTGTACAACGGCTTACGTAGCCATGAACTTGCTGCCACGTGTCCACATCTAGCTCGCCAGGTGTTGTAGTGAGTTAGGTGACATGGGCTTTTTTTAAAAAAAAAATCGATATGTGGCATTCAATTAATTTTTTGTGAATAATGTGACATTTTGATTGTTGTCCCACTTGTGTGTGAGTCATTTGAATTTGAATTTTATTTTATTTTTGAAAATAAGATTACAGGATAAAAATTTTGTGTGTAAGAAAAAGCAAAAGTTTAGCATAAGTTAATTTTTTACATAAGAATCCTTAAACTAGTTGTATTGTGTGTATTTGACAAGAGTGTCAAAATCGATTAATACGACACGAATATACGAATACGAACACGACACGATTTTTTATTCGTGTCAAAATCTTCAACACGAATACGATGTAAATATTTTGCAGGTTAACACGACACGACACGAATAACACGAATAACACGCAAATTTGGAGTCAAAACGGTAATTGACAAAAAAATACTAAAAGAAAATGGGTTGAAATTAAAAAAAAAAAATTATTTTTTAAAATAATAATAAATAATTTAAAACAAATACAGATCTATACGAATTTGACAAGCGAAGCAATATGATATGACCAGAATTTTTTGAGTATCATTTTTTTCGACACAAACACGATATGAATTTTTTTGTGAGTGAACCCGAACACAAATTTTTCGTATGGTGTCGCAGGTCAACTCATATGTCATAACTTATTTCGACACCTCTAATATTTGGTAAAGTGATTGCTTTTCATGATCAATAATAAAGTATAATAATAAGTGATCAAAGTTGGAAATAGAAACAGAATGAAATTTTTGAATGAATGACTAGAAAAAGCCAGTACATGGGATGTTTGTTCCATCTGAAGCTGAGACAGTGTGTATTCTCTTTCGGTCCTCCTCGTCTTATTATAATTCTTTCTTTTCTCTTTCCTTTCATTTCATCTTTCTTTTTTACTCTTTTCTTTTTTCTTTTGCTTTGTTTTCTTGGTTTAACGAGAAAGCCAATACTTTACGTACTCCACATATCATTGATATTCCACACTAGTAGATGCTTCCCGATCAATCATATCAGAAATCATTCGTATTATACATGATTCCCTGAACAAAACTTTGATTGAAAGTTAATGGTACGAGCCATCAAACGAGAGGCATTAAGTATTGCAATTGTTGATTGGTTGGCATGTAATAGTTCACCGCTAAAATCGAACTATTAAAGTACTTAGAAGTTCTTTACAGGTGAATCATTGCTCATATATGCTGAGGGAATCATAAATTTTAGGGTAAAATACATATTTACTTTATAACGCACGCTTGCAAGGTCATATGATGTATTTGTGCCCTATATTCTGTTAATACAAAAAATAACATTTTAACTTAAAATCAAACATAAATGAGGTTATGTGATAAATGGAAAACTTTAGAAAAGTAAATTGATAAATAACTATATTTTACAAGAAGACAAAACGTATAATATTATGAATTGCACAATATGACTAAATCATTACAAGAAGACAAAATTGATAAATAGCAAATATTACTTTTATTTGTTCCAGAAGGAAACACAAAATCATTAAAAAAAATTCAATTTCTTTTTTAAAAAATCGAAGATTGTAAAAATATGTTTTCTACCAAAAAAATTAATGTAATGCTTTTTAATAAATTAATGGGACAGGATCGCTTTACAAACTTTTTTTGCAATTACATTAATGTAGGACCGTTCGTACACTGTGTGATTAATGTAGCACCGGTCCTACATAGTACAATTTGTAAGAGTTTGTAAACAAAAAAGTTTGTAAATATAACCTGCCCCTCAATTAATTACGCATTTACTACAGTTTTGAAAATAATTACACATTTATTGCACAATATCACGCCCAATTTGGGCGTCACCAATAACGCTCAAATTGGGCGTCTCATGAGGTGTTGACATGTGTCACATTTTTTTCCAAAAAAAATTAATTTAATCATAAAACTTCTGAAGGCCATAACTTTTGAATCGAGTATCCAAATCAGGTAAAAAAAAATTTGATTCCACATAACTTTTCGAGATCTACGCAATGACATCTCATTTGAAAAAATTTATTTCTCACAACACAAAATAAATTTGTAAAAATGGTATTACAAGAGCGGTTAAACCCAGAAGTCTCTAAGTTCTGGATTTGTGATTTAATATAAAAATTAAATAAATATTTGATTTATGATTTAAATTAAAAAATAAAATTTTTTTATTACAAAAAAATTGGCTTGTGAGTTAAATTAAAAAAAAAATATTATTAATAAGGAAAAAGAAATAAAGATTTGATTTGTGATTTAAATTCAAAAAGTAATTTGAAAAATCTGTATTAGTAAAGGAAATAATTAAATAAATATTTTAAACCTCTAAGGAAGAAGGATTTTTTTTTAAAATTAATTATTAATGCTATAAGCTTCTGGTTTATTATTCGTGGTCTAAAATTAATGATGACTTATGAATGTTTTTCAAAAATAAAATCATTCTTCTTTAGAAATTTAGAATATATACTTAATTATTTCCTTTATTAATAGAGATTTTTCATATTGTTTTTTGAGTTTAAATCACAAATTAAATCTTTATTTTGTTTTCCTTATTAATAATAATTTTATTTTTAATTTTAATTTAAATCACAAACTAAATCTTTATTTATTTTTTTATATTAAATACAAATTCACAAAACTCAAGGGCTTCTGGGTTTAATCACTCTTATAATATTATTTTTACAAATTTAAATTGTGTTTATGAGATAAAATATGTCAAATGAGATGTCGTTGCGTAGATTTCGAAAAGTTATGTGGAATCAAAAAAAAATTACCTGATTTAGATACCCGAGTCAAAAGTTAAGACCTTCAGAAGTTTTACGATTAAATTAATTTTTTTTGGAAAAAAAATGTGACACGTGTCAATACCTCATAAGTGATGCTTAAATTTGATGTGATTACCTTTTTGGTGATGCCCAAATTGGGCATGATATTGCACAATAAATATGTAATTATTTCTAAAATTATAATAAATACGTAATTAATTTATTAAAAAACATTAAATTAATTTTTTTTCCTTCTACCTTAGCGCTGTGATCAAATCCTGGCTCTGTCCAAGGAATCAAGGATGTACATGGAGTTGACACTTCAGTCAAAAAATAGTATAGTTGACAGGTAACGAGATAAGGAAGGAACCGAACGTGTGTTAAATTAATTTTTAAGGGAGGGCAATTTAGTAAAATAATAGACACTATTACCAAGTGGGGTGTTATATTGTCTTTCCTTCTTTTTCAAAAGATTTCCCACCGTCTTATGTTTCCTAAGGCATGTGTGTGACGACAAGTAGTCTTAATTTTCAAAGCATAATGCAATGAAAAATTATAACATAATTTGAATTGAGAAAATTTTAGTATGTTAAAAAACAAAAAAAATTCAGCACAACATACCAACGAAATTAAAACTACTGAATATTGTCACCAACATGTTGTGTGAAAAACACAATTGACCAATAGTATAAAAAGCCAACAGAATCTAGAGCATTAAATTTTACATGATAACATTTAATTTCAGGGGGGACATTACAGCAAGGGGCATGTGAAAGTCTGTCACACCGCGTAAGTTTTGTTTTAACGCAGGACACGGAGCAAAATAAAACAAACAGCATAAGATAATGATAAGTCAAATAATCCTAAAATGTTGCACATTTCCTAACATCACAACAAAATTTGATGAACCCCAAAAAAAGACTACAAACAATAGAAACTGAAGACAAACTAGTACCCACTAATAATTTACATGATACTGCAGCTCTCAGTGTTCTCATCACTGAAAACATGCGTGATAGGATCCGCCATGGGGTGTGACGGCATAGGCGGCGGCGGCACGTAGTTCACAGACGGATGTGGCCTCCCATACATCATATGTGGTGGGTACATGTTCATATTTGCTTGCTGCTGGTGGTGCTGCTGTTGTTGTTGTTGTTGGTTCATCATCATAGCCATGTACTGCTGTTGCTGTTGCTGCTGAAGGGTGTAAGGGTTATTGGGTTGCATGTGCATCTGCATGCCTTGATAGTAACCACCGTTCATCGCCGCCGCAGCCGGTAGCCCTTGCACCGCCGGAATATTCCTCATATGTTCCATTGGACCCATCTGGCCCATTGGACCCATCTGGCCCATTGGACCCATGTGGCCCACATTACCATTATGACCACTAGGACCATTATTATTATTGTTAACCTTGCCAGGGCCACCCTTGCCTTTTTTACCATGACTAGGGATATCAAAATCTTGAAAGTCAAAATCAATTTTGTCCATTTTCCCTTCTCCACCTTTTTTCCCTTCTTTACCTTTGTTGTTTCCACCACCATTGTTTTTGTTCTTGTTTGATGTGTCGGCTGCACCTCCCTTCTTGCTCTTTTTACCAAGGCCTAGAAACCTAACTAGAAAACCACCACCACCACCACCATTTTTGCCTTTGGCATTCTTTTTCTTGCTACCATTATTATCACCGCCACCCTTTTGCTTTCCCTCTTTGTTCTTTTTACCACCACCATCTCCACCACCTTTTTTTCCTCCACCGCCATTTTTAACCTCGTTGAAGTTTCCACCTTTACCCTTCATCTGTATAGGTATATCAATGACTTCACCTTTCTTGGCACTCCCATAATTACCACCCCCACCACCAAAACCATTCCCTTTATGGTTGTTCATGGCAGGCCCATTCATCATACCAGCAGGGCCTTGTGGCCCACGGCCCATCCCCATCATGGGCATCATCTTGGTATGCATAGGGTGGCCATGTCCATTACCATGACCATGACCATGACCATAGTCTTCCTCTTCATCCTCTTCATAATCCTCAAAATCATCTTCAGACTCATTGTAGTCGCCAAATTCATCATAACCATCATCACTCTCGTCAAATTCATCCTCTGGCAAGATAAAGTTGACAGATTTTTGATTTTTGCCCGGTACTTTGAGATCTTTAGCCCCTTTAGTATTCTGGAAGTGTGCTAGTTGAACACCACCACCACCACCACCACCACCTCCTCCTCCTCCACCACCACCACCACCTTTCTGACCCTTCTGATTCTGAGACTTATTGTCCTTACCCCCTTTGCTGTTATCTATTTGCATGTTCTTGAACTGAGGGTATGTGTGAGAGTTTTGATTATACATCATGCCCCTCTGGCCACCCCATAGTTCAGCATGCTTCCCTGAACTTTTCAGCTTTTTTATGAGTTTAGCTGGATCTACATGACCTGACACCAGCACCTTCCCTTGCTCAGCATCTATATTCACAGAATACACCCCTGGACAACAATTATTCATTCAGGTTAACCACAATAATACAAAAGTATAGTCAAATCTGATCCACCTCACAAAAACCAGAAACAAACTACTATACAGCAAAGTAAAAAAGTTTGAAACTTGGAATACATACCATACATAAAGCAATTTAACATCTAATTTAAACATAGTTTGAAAACATGAGAGTATGTTAACCGACATGGCAAAGTTGAGATTCGTAGCAAATTAACATAAAATAAGAATTAAAGAAAAAAAGCAAAAGCAAAAGGGAGGGTGGGTATGAGAGGCATGCTAAGAATGTACCATCAATTTTCTGCAGCAGTTTCTTTACTTTATGCTCACAACCATCACAGTGGATATTAACCTTGAGAAGGCAATTCTACATGGGAAATAAACACAGCACAAATCAGTTAACATAAGTTCAGAACTCTACCACAGGAACCGAAAATAGTAAAGGAGACACAGAAGCATATTTGTCTTCAACTAGTTAAAACTAACTAATGAACATAAGACTCAAAACTAGTAAGAAGCGTGCACCTGAATCTTCATCATGTCTTGTTTACTCATCTTTGCAGGTTCACAGAACAGAGAGAAGTGAGTGGAGAAATAAAAAACTAAGGGGTAAGAGTAGTGTGTTGAGATATTTTAGAGGGCGCAAAGGGTATTTTTGGTACACAATGGACACTAGTTTGCTCAAATATCCGTACTGGTTTTGGCAGAATCGCACGTACAGAGTCACATTTGAGAGAGAGAGAGTCGGTTACCAAAGCTGCAAGGTAACATACAACGAAGAAACTATGATAGCTTCTCTCAAAGACTGAGTTGGCTTTATCTTTTATGGTTTATATTTAAATAAGAACTTGAAAGCTTTGAATGTGGTCTGGTCTCACTGATACCTTAACATAAAACCGCCATTGTTGTATTGCACCTCTATATATATAGAGAGATGTGAGAGATTAGTCAATTTATATTGGATCTTAAGTGTAGATTTTATTTCTTTTTTGTAGAGTTTATACGAAAATATTAAAATTTTAGATCTTTAGTATATTTTTGGGTTTTGATCCGTTGTTATTGTAATAAAATTAGTATAATTACCACATCAAAAAAAAATAAAAAAAATTAGTATAATTAAGAAATTTTTTTAATTTCTCTCTTAATTATTTGTAGTTCGGAGGTCTTCTAGAGTGTAGATTTTTATGTCAGATCCATAACAATATATATATGGTAAGTGAATATTTGACAGCAGTGATAAATTAAAATTTTTGATATCAAATCTTAATATTTGATTTTTATTAATCTGATTATTATAATTTATTGAAAAATAATAATTAATTAATAAATGTGATTCAATAAATTATAACGGTTAGATTGGTAAAAAATCGCGGTTAAGATTTGGTGTTAAACTTTTTGGTTTGTTTGACAGTAGAATCAAAAGATTAGTTCTCTATATATTATAGAGAGAGATATGATCATTTGACACCAGTGACAAATTTGAAATTTGATATCAAATTCTAACCGTTGATTTCCGTTAATTAACGGTTATCATTTATTGAAATTAATAATTAATTAATAAGCTTGATTGACGACTATTATAACCATTGATTGGTGAAAATCAAAGGTTAAGATTTGATATTAAATTTCAAAGTTTGACACCAACCGGTCATGGTTGTTAAAATTTTGATTTATCACTACGATTTTACGTTTTTACGATTTTTTTCATCAAAAAGATTTTACCAATATTACAAATGCTTTTACATTTTTACGATTTTTTTACATTACGATTTTACGATTTTTTAATCCCCTTCTGATTTTACTTAAAATCTCAATTTTAACAACATTGCAACCGGTATCAAAGGATCCTGCTATATATATATATATATATATATATATATATATATATATATATATATATATATATATATATATATAAAGTACTTCTCTTGTTACCGGAGATAAGTTTATCTAGTGACCTCAAAACTACGTCGTTTTGAATTAATGAAGGGAGTTTTCATAAAAAAAATTTATAATATGAATTTACCGAAATATCCTTCATTAATTCTCCTAAAATTATAGAAACACTTTTCATTAATACAAAATGACGTAGTTTTAGAAGACACCGGAAATAACATATCTCCAGTGACTGGAGAAATAATTTAACCCTATATATATATAGGGGAAGGATTTGTTTACAAACTTTTTTACAAATTACACGAAGTATGATCGATCACTATGTATGTAGCACCGATACGACACGCAACACGTGACACGACATGACACTCCGACACGTCAATCCTAAAAAATTATGGATTTCGACACGTTAGGACACGTTTTAATATTGAATAATATTTTTAATTTATATAGTGTATATTTCATTTAATATTTAATAATTTAACAAAAAAATGATACTAAATTAATAATACCTATCAACACGTTATAAAGATGGAAAATTTAATAAAAAATATAAGAACTGGGATGAGATATATATATATATAATATCAGATAGAGAGATCAAATCATATTAGAGAGAGATCAGAGACAAGGAGATACAACAAGAGCATGACAGGAATTGACAACAATGATGATGAGATGATCTCTTATCTACTTAAGGAGAAAAAAGACAAAAAAATAAAATTGATATGATCATGTGGAAGCTTTATTAATATATTTTAATTTAAAAAATTAAAAAAAATTAAAATAAAATTACGAAAATGCCATTTGACTGTGTCGGACACGGTCAAATTCGCGTGTCGGAATGGTCAACGTGTCGGAAAAAGTTGACCGCGTGTCCGACACCGTGTCGGAGCGTGTCGCCGTGTCAGAGCGTGTCGAACACGACTCTCCCTGTTTTTACAAGTGTCTGTGCGTCCTTGACCGGTCATACACTCTTGATTGAAATATGACCGGTCATACTTGGTGTAGTTTGTAAACAAAAAATTTGTAAATATAATAATCCACACACACACACACATATATAGTGAAATAGTTTTCTCATTTTACATGAGAAAATTTTCTCATGTTACGCTCACAATTAAAAGGTGGGACCCATTTTGATTTTTTTGTTTTCTCACTTTTTGTGGACCCCGCTCGTGTATTGTGTGTGTAACATGAGAAAATATTCTTATGTAAAATAAGAAAATTAATCCCGATATATATGTGTGCGTGTGTGTATAGGAAAATGTTTTTCTTATGTTGATGGAGATAGATTATCTCATATTAGTGACACAAAATTATAAGAAGGACCCACAAATAATTAGAAAGAGAAAAAATAAAGGTGGGACCCACCTTTATTATGTATGTGTAGAATTTTAATTTATCTAATGTTAAATGAGATAAATATAACACACACACATATATATATATGGATTTTATATATATCATGTTGTAGGAAATTTATTGTATCATGTCACTCTCACAAAAAATGATGGCCCCACCTTGTTTTCTTCTTTCTTCTTTCTTTTTGAGTGAGACTCACATCAAATGTATTAGAGTAAACATAACACAATAAGTTTTCCACAACATGACATATATAAAACCCTATATATATAGGGTTTTATAAGAGTTATGTTGTAGGAAAAGTGATTGTGTTATGTTATAGAGATTCGTTTTGTGTGCCGTAGTTTTTTTTTTCCTCAAAACATGCGGGTCCCACAAAATGTTGTGTGTATGAAATTTTTTGTGGTCATGTTAAATGATGAATGCAAACCCCATATATATATAGGCTTTAATGTTTCTAAAGTGAATGTAGATAAGTTATTTACATTCGCTCACAAAACGACATCGTTTTAAGTTAAAAAAATTATAATGAAAAAGACGATTATATCCCTAAAATAAATTATAATTATAAAAATACCTTGATTTTCGCCTCAAAACGATCTCATCTTGAGCTCAATGTAGATAAATTATCTACATTCACAATAAAAAAACGAACCCATATATATATACACTCTTTTTTAAACGAAAAGACAGCACGATTGACTTTGCAGATTTTGTGTTATTTCAGCCCTTCAGTTCCTGGGCTCGGCCTTCTTCAATTGGGCCTGGAAGCAAATTCATGTAAATATTATTTTTTTAAAAGAAAATAACTAATAAGTTATTCTTTTCTCAGAAATACTATTTGATTTTCCCAAAAGAAAGCATAAACAATTTGTAAAGATGTAATTAGAAATAATTATAAAATTGGTCCAAATAAATAAATAAAAATGACAAAATAAAAAATGGAATAAATATAAAATTACTTGTGTTGTTGTGGGGCCTTGGGTGAATGCAGATCAGAAACCTCTCTGTCAACTTCATTGGCAGGCACGCTCAGCATGTGAGTCAAGTGACAAATTGATAAATGCAATTCTTCAAAGAGATAATTTGGCCTTCGTCACGTTAACAATCATCCTAATCACGTTATGCATTGTAATTAGAATTTAGAATCCAATTCTTGATTAGCTGTTGTTTTTTTTATTCATTCAATTTTCATGTGTAACTTGGATTATGTTATAATGGCTGTGACTTACTGCCAAACTTCATAAATGTTATGTTTCTCTTTTTAATTTAAAAGAAATAGTAAATTTTTGGACGTTTTGCCCTTTTGGTGTACTAAAAAAAAAAATATAGTAAATTATATTATTACTTTTTTTTTTCTTTTTGTAACGTATATATAATTGTGAGTTAGTGTTTATCGAAAACTGTAGAATGGGAACATGTTATGGACTTTCTTTCACAAAGGAAGCAAGACAGCATCGAGCTGAAGACTTGTCAGTGAGGGGATAAATGGTCATTCGGAAATTTAAAGAAGAGATTTGGGTTTGTGTGTAAAAGCAAGCAACACAGCATAGGGACCTCTCAAAAAACCCATCCCAATGGTACTGAGTCTACTGACATATAATACTGCCAATCACTACATTCTAAATAATGCATTGCACAATATTTTAAAGCAAGAGAACACTGAACAACGATCTTCTGCGAGTTTGGACCCTGCTTTTGCAACCAAAATCATTGTTTGTCTTCATTAAAAGTCCAACCTGGTGGAAATTTGCTGTCCCCATTTCATCTTTTTTATCCATTAATTTTTTTTTTAATAAAAATTGCCGTAAAAGATATCTATAATCTACAAAAGATGAACCCTACCACCACGGGAAAAACTTCCAAAAATAAAATCTAAAGTTTACGAAAATGCTTTTGTTTTTGTAGGATGTAGGGTTGGTTTCATATAATTTCGTCCACTTTTATCGTTTCTTTTCCCTTTTTCTTTTCCCCCCTTTTAATTGACTATTAAACTATTAACTAGTGTATGCTAATCGATATTTGAATTTAAAGTAAAGTCTCTCTTGATCCCTGATAAAAAGTTAGGATTCCTACTTTAGTTTCTAACAAAAAAAAAATTTAGTTTCGAGATTCTTAAGAAATTCAAAGTGGATCTATTTAGTTGAAATCGTGATCCTCACAAATTAAAAAAATTTCACATTAATCCTTCAAAAGAATTAAAACGGGTTCATTTTGAATTTCATAGAAATCAAGCAACTAATTCTTTTTAGTAAAGAATTAAAATAAAGAACATATAACCTCCAAAGATAACTCAGTTGGCAGCTGAGCTCTCAAGGATTTGCCTAAGTCAGGTGTTCAAACCCTGTCTCAAGCAAATTATTAGAAAATCTTTGGGGCTAGAGAAAGTGCCTCTCCGATAACGAAACTCAATGCATCCGCCCTTCCAATATGGAGAAAGTGCCTCTCCGATAGCGAAACTCAATGCATCCGCCCTTCCAATAAGGTCCTAGCCTAAAGAGCCGTACCCCGAAGACAAGGTGACCGGAGAAGGTTGAATGAAGATACCTCCAAATTATACTAAAAAAATAAAAATAAAGATCATATTTATTTTTT